TTACCTTAGAATGAGCTTTTTTATCTACAGAGTCCTACAGGAGCCCAGAAAGGACAATCCAAACACTGGCTCTCGATGGGGCCATTTGCGTTTTTCACACATTTCGCTACTTTTTATTTTTCTTACATAATTGGGGTGGGGTAAAAGGGGTGGGTGACACGAGGGAATTGCAATCTGTAACTACACCTCTAGATGTCACTTAAACGTAAAGCCTTCTTACACATTTGGAGTTGTGTCTCTGGCCACCTGGCAGACATAATTCCAATATTACGAATCATTTTAATAGCTTTTAATTTCTATATGCTGAGGTCTTAAACCGATGACATTATATTATCATATCACAATAGAATTAAATTAAATATCTGTGAACAATAAGGTTGAATTATCACTCTGATCTACTGCAGAACATTCAGTGTTTCTCACACACAGACAGTTATCTCTGCGAGCCGGCCAATGTGACCCGACGTGCTCCGATTAATAACGGCTCTGGAAGCCTGTTTATGGCAGAAGGGAAATGAAGCAAAGAATACTGTGAGAATACAGTCACACTCACCTTTGCCCCCCCGAGATTTAGCTCACAGGAACACTAACAACAGAGAAAAGCACATTTTGCCACTGTCAGAAAAAGAGCTGCTCTTGGAAAGACCTTGAAGGGATTTATAGTCCCTTGTTTATAGTCACAGAAAATACTGTAAGTGTATTCTTTTTCTGCCTGAGGGTTTAAAACAAAGGGCAGCAGGAATCCTGCACTTCCTTGTTTATATTACAACACAAATTAGGATGCCAGTGTTTTCATTAGAGTATGGCTGAGGAGGGGGCGATCATAATCGAATATGTTTATGGAGCGTAAGTGGAGCTTGTTTGTATGCTCGAGCAGACCTGCGTCATTAGTGAACACAGTGGCTAATTATTGGCATGGCAGTTTGTTAAAGTGTGTGCACTTTTTCATGTCTGCTGTGAAGTTCGGTCAGACTCACGGCTACTGACGGTCGTCAGATCCTAATCGGGGAGCAGCTGAGTTCGGCCACAAAGAGAGGAGATTTTACAGATGACACATTTATTAAATGCTGCTTCCATGTGGGGCGTCGCTCTCTTAGAGTACACGTACGCTGTTCAGCACGCTGTCACTTTGTAAGGCCTTCAGCGTGGCTCTGGGGATGCTAATGTCAGTCCACCACTTTGGTTCAGACTGAAATATCTCGACAGCTATTTGATGGTTTGTAATGAAATTTTGTACACAGATTCATGCCCCCCTAAAGATGAAATAATATCTTTGGTTTATGATCAAATACCTGCAAAGCTAATGACCATCAGCCTCAGCTTCAGTGCTAAACATGCTCAACTAGTATAAAGGACACTGTAAACATTATACCTGCTTAACATCAATGCTGAGTATGAGTTACCATGATGTTAGCATTTAGCTCAGGGATTTTAAACTGCTGGCTCAGGGGCCATTGGAGAATCAGTTTCAGGTCTTCATTTGTTGTTTGGCTACGAACAACAAAGACGATATAAAACGTGTGATGTTAGTAATGGACCTCTGTAGATAAAAACGGCTCAATTCTAAGAATAAAAACACCACGATTGTTATTTTCAGGTGATTTTACACTAATGAAAACATCCCTGTGGATATTATATTCCATTTCTGCCACAGAGCTTCTAGCGTGGTTGTACACTCTTTCGAAACATGCTTGTTTGCTTGTTTTCACGATAATGCGTTTGGTTTCCAGTAGTCCACACCTAGCTTTAATGAAACATGCTGTTTGTAGCCTTATTCAGCGACTACCCTTTGATTGATTGGCAGTCCCGTTAGGCCCTGCACACCCCATTTCTTTAAAACTTGTGATATAACTGTCAGAAAGGCTGAAATGCTGCAATTTCATCACATCAAAACGTTGGTGAAACATCTTAATGCTTTCTGCAGCACTTAAAAAACATCTCTAAGGGCAAAATGCACCTTGAGACTAAATATTTTCCATCTTGCAATATGGCCTTTAAAATGTCTAAAAGTTCCACCTTTTGAAGTTTGTACAAAATGGAAATTCAACTTACAGAGAGATTGCTCTTAGATATATACATCTACTGGTTTATGACCTGTTGGAGAAATCTTCTGAGTGCAGACACTTGTAGAAGACCTAAACTGCTCTACATGTGATGATTTTAAGCCCTACTTTGTCCTCAGTAGGTAAACAGACCCTTTTGTTTTTAGATACTGTAATACTTTGTGTTCTTTTCACCGATAACAGGTGGGAACATCCTGTTGAGCCACTGCATTAATATCACTAATCTCAACTCAGTCATCAGCAGAAGTAAACATTAGCATGCGTCTCCTTGTCTCTCCGTCCCTTAATCCCACCTCAATATTCAAGACTGCTGTGAGTTATCATTTTTCACTCTCAAAGTAAACATGTTCCCAGAAAGATTCATTTATAGAAGCAGATAAAGCAAAGTCAGCAGATGAAGTAAACACAGACTCCAGACGTATAGGACAGAGATGGTGCAGCTGTGTGAGGTCAGGTAACCAAACTGTTCTTGAAGTGGGCCGGTTGGTTAAAAGTAAGTTCTTGTCCATAATCTCAACCATGTAGATGTGAAGGTGAATGCTTTACATGAATTTCATGGTATGAAGATTGAAGTTCACAGTGAGGTAGAGACATGAGAGTATGATGGAAAATGTGCATTGAAGGAGCACCTTGTAGTCTGCAACTACGCCACTAGATGTCCCAGACACTGGACCTTTAAGTGGCATTTTCGAGTAATTTAAGACAATTGACTTGAATTTTCCTTTACTTCAATTTCTCTGCTGTGATTCAGACCGTCGTATAAGATACGTAAAGATGAATAAATACTTTGATTTAGGAATTATAATGCCTTTTAGCATCTAACTTCTCTCTGTCTGTCACAGTACAGTGCTGCTCTGATGATTCGTCTTTAGCAGCTGTCCTATTAATATTAACAGTTTTTCAGGTTCGCTAATACTGACACAGCTAAACCCTGTTATGTTTTGGTCTGCTGATTTCTGACAGCAGAACGTTGAAGCTCTGCAGAGTGAAGTTCTTTTTACACTTTGTTTGTGGGCAGATTTGATTCACGATAACATTAACAAAGCGGAACAGGTAGCTTTATATGACAATTTAGGGGCATTCATTATGCTGAAATGAGCAATTCACGAGACGTTTGTGCAGCTGAGAGAGTTTGGAGAATCCAACTTTGAACATCTGTACTAATGTCACAGGAAGAAGGAAGAGAAATTTAAAATAAGATGGCCAGATGCCAAGGAACAATGAGTTGTTGCATCACGTCAATAGATCTGCTTTCCTCTCATTGTGACTACATTACTGTATCTCATTTATTTCCAAATTGCCACTGGAGGAACTATGTCTGCTTTAAAGTACCACAGCTAGACCTTTATGTGGATCCATTATCATTATCACCTTTGTTGTGGCTGACAGTAACTCTGATGGCTACTTGTGAAATACAGGAGCCATTTTAAGGTTCTGCTGAGCTCGCCTAATGCCGCTACAATCAACCTCCATCTTTTATTTGTGAACTTTTAGCCCTGTAGCATGCTGGCAGAGCTCTGAGCTCACCTGGCCGAGGTAGCTGTGGTCCTCCGGCTCTCAGGCTTTTAAATGACGTCTAAACACATATTGACGTGTGTGTTACTCTGCTGTGGTAAATGTCTATAATTATCCTACTTATTATTGAGTTTTGTGACTCTTTAACTACGACGGTGCCATTCAAGTAAACACTGCTTAATCTTTCTCATTTGCACCACTCTTTTAAACACTTCCCTGTGTGAGCTTTTTATCCTTTATTGGCTCATAATTTACTGGTTTGACACTCTTAGTTGTACTCTTAATTGTGTTTATAAAGTTTAAATGTAAAAATGTGAAAACTACGAGTTTATAACACTTTACCACAAACTCAGACACAGTTATTTGTAATTCTTTAGAATATATAATTTCCCTTTTAATAGATAAAGTATATTGAAGAGAGGTATTAATATAGATGAAAGACATTTTATATGACATTTGTTTTATTATAGGGAAAAGAATTGTCTAAAACATGGTTCATTATTTGTCCGAAGCATCAAGTAGATCAGCAACATAATACTGGAAATCGTAATAAAGTGGACTTCTATCTTTCTCACCACAGATGTGCCTCCACTGGCTGACGCAGTGTTTCTGGAACTATCTGGACTGGACAGAAATCTGCCACTACATCTCCACCTGTGTGGTGATGGGTCCGGACTACCAGGTTTACATGTGCGTGGCCATATTCAAACACCTGCAGCCAGACATCCTGCAGCGAACGCAGTCCCAGGAGCTGCAGGTCTTCCTCAAGGTGAGATGGAGTTTCAACTACACTTTCATACACAGAACGTCTTGTAAAACTGTTTAAAACTGAAGGTGGTCGCGTGTATCAGTTCGAGCCCGACTGAATATTTTTTGAGCTGGAATGAAAGTAGGACGATTTTCCACCAATATGACAAAGCAAAGTTACTAAGAAGGCCGCTTTCTTAAAGGCATGTAGGACTCAGTGGCATCTAGTGGTGAAGTTGCAGATTGCAATTAATTGAACACTGCTGTATTTGACATATTTGGGCTGTGAAGTGTGTAAGAGAAACTACAGTAGCCACGTCTGTAGATAAAAACATCTCATGGTAATAAAAATACAACAATTCTTATATATTTAGGTGATTATACACTAATGAAAACATCCCTATGAATATTTTACTCCATTGCTGCTAGTAGATCCCACTGAATGTTACACACTGGACCTTTAAACAAATAACTTTTTTAAAGAAGAAGTTAAATATTCTTTTTTATGTTAAATAATTTGTAGTATGTATTTGAAAGAAAATAAAGTCCATTGATAGATGTAGGTTCTTCTTCGGTGTGAAGAACTGTTGTGGAATACAAAATATTTCTGAAGGCAGGGCTGCAACTCATCTGCAGATTATTGTCTCGATGAATCACTTAATCTTTTTTTTTTAAGATGTCATTCAACTGCACTGGCTACTTGTGTAGGCCGTCAGATTTATTAGTGTGGTTTACTGAAAGATCAATACAGCATGCAGTAGATCAGGCTGATTTTAAGACTTCTCTCCTTGACCACAAGGCTGTATATTCTGAATTCAAATTAATACAGTTTGAATTCAGAATAAAAAGTGGCAACCCTGGTATCTATATTTGAGAGGTTGTTTTGAAAAGCAGCTCTCAGTTGGTACCTTTACACACAGGACACTCACTGGTGCTATAATTCATTAGAGAAATGGCTTTCTTTGGACGGAGCACTCCATTATTGCAGGCTAATAAATCAGAAATACAACTTTGGTCTTACAGTAAAATGATCTTAAAGGTGTCGACATGAGGACACATGCAATGCAGCCCTCCACTGACTTGTACAGCTGCCCTTTTAAATCCACTCATCCATGATTCACACCCATAATGAATAACAAATCGACTCTTGGAATTTGCTCACAAAACTTCCCACTGTGGTTCATTTTGCTGGAAAATACACTGTGAAAAAGAGAAGCCTATCATGAAAGTTAACACTTTATTTGAAATAAGTTCTGCTCGGTGAATATTGGATGAACGCTGCAATGAAGAGCGGCCCCCGCGGGTTTCACAAAAGGTCCAAAGTCACGGTCTTTTCAGATGTGTTCTTCCACTAACACCCAAAGCAACATTAAACGCAGCAGCATTGTGAACGAAGCATGGCTCGACGCGAAGCAGCTCATCGCCATTACTCATTAAGCATTTCAATCCGTCTTGTCTCTGTGCAGATAGTTCTGGTGTTAACATCGCTATGAGCCGCCGCTGACAGTTTTTGTGAATAAAAGATCAGTTATGGAGGCTTTATCTGAGGAAGCTCTTCTAATGAGCTGTAGCATCAGATACTGCTGCGAGAAACAGCTTTAAGACGCAGTGTTTGTGTGTCTGTATGTCTGTATGTTTGTGTGTGTGTGAGAAACTTACACAATCCTCGTCCTGAGCTGAACTGTTGAAAGTTTTTAGACATGCCGGTTTGCGTCCGACGCCCTCATCTTTCCTCTTCTCCTCTGTGTCTCTCTGTGGGAACAATGTGAAGGAAGTGTTTCACTCAGATATGGTATAAGAGGATTTCTTTAAAGATTCACACACACACACACACACAAACACTGCACCACTCTACACTTATCCTGTCTCACTGGGGGGTATATCTATATTTCATCTAAATTAAAATTTGAAAAGGCAAATGACTTGTTACAATCGTTCAGTCTGGCTGGAGCTCGGCTGCAGTGGAGCCGTAGAGGAAGAGTAGACAGAGGAGACAGAGGTTGTACGTGCCACTGACTCAGAGGCTACATGAGACCACAAAGTAAAGCTTCTGTTGTGCTGCACTCAGAGACAGATCAACACGTACATAAAGCTGTCTCACTATAGATATAATACTATAGATCCTTTTTCTAATGTTTGTCGAGTCAAATAACTGGGGCGTAAATTGATTACATTCATTTCATTTAACATTTTTATCACCTGATAACTCCTCACTTGGACACCGTAAGATGCCCTGAAAGTCTAACCTCTTAATAAGTAGCCCGAGACACAAGAGGTTGCAAATCAATGTGACTTAAACCTCCAGATAGCAAAACGCAGAACCGACAACCAAGAGACGACTAATCGCACAAGCTACAGCTGCTTCCTTCTCCAGATCAATAAATACTTCAAATTAAATGGGGAAAAAGCCCATTGTCACTTCCTTCTACATTATATGATATAAATTAGGTAAAATGATGTGTTAAAACAACAAACTCTTCCTTAATTAACTATTAATGTGAAAGTATAATGAGAGATAATAACTATCCAATCAGAGCTCAGTATGTAAATGAAACACTAAACACACCCACAAGCTTCGTGCTCTAAAACACGCCGCCCCTGGCATCCGTAGCTGGTTGTGGTTACTACACATTTACAACAGCAGGTGGCGCAGTTGGTGGCTGGTATATAAGATGTCTACCATCAGATATTAACTTAAAATCATGTGTGGATAACAATTTAAACTGACCTGAAGAGCCAATCTCCAGAGCTGTGACTCGCCATTGTCTTTATAAATGAGATGTTGGTGTGAGAGTTATACATAGAAAATAATAAAGTCATAAATTGTGATATTCCTCCTAATTTAGCACAAACTAAATCTGCGTCATCACTTGGACATGCTGACTGGCACTGATTGCTCCACTGGGGGTTAAAGTCTAATGCTCATGTATGTAACATCTTTGCTTCTTGAATTTATAATTTATTTTATTTTATTTTTGGCTGAAAGTTAAACAACAATTATTTGTTTCTTAAGAAAAAAAACTGTAAAATTGAAACTCACATGATCAAAATGTCATGTTGTGATATTCTTATTCCTGTAGCTTTATTCCAAAACAATCATTTCAGTAAAAATCCAGTAATCTATGAATCTAACCAAAAAGAAATGAATGAACCGAGTCGGCCTGCTATTAAGAGCCAGACAACTCTAATATTTTCTTTTAACTAACCAATAAAACTCTTAATGCTTAAAAGATATATTCCTATTCATTCCCTCTTGAGGGCAAACCCAGACCTGCACTGAATATTAATACCACTCATTTGTCATGTGAGGACAAGCTTAAGAAAACATAGAAATCTTTGGTAATTAATGCATTAATTAGCTTACCTAATGATCTCACAAGTGCTAATGGTTAATATATCTTGAAGATTATGTGGGACATTAAGCAGCTCACGTCACCTGTTCAGCACGAGAATATGAGAGTGAACAGTGCTGAACATTGTGCACGCAGTACGTTTTATGTTTAAAGTTAAGAAATCGACATTAGTCAGACACTAATTCCTACACACTCGTGTCTTTGCATCCTCTTTTTCACCCTCCTTAATGCTCCCAGAGAAAATAACAGACCAAAAATACCCTCCCAAGTGATTTCCACTGCTTATCTCGACTCTTCTGTCCCGGGTTTAACTGTGTCAGCAGACGTTTCCCGGTGAGATAAATGAAACCGGGCGAAGCAACTTTACTTTTGATGATTCTTCGGGATTAATCTCACAAAATCTTTGGCTGAAATAAAGAATCTGACACGTCTAGTGGGACTTCTTACTTACTGTAGTGCTCTTATGTTTTGATAAGAAGAACACGTACACATGTGCCGGCTGTACGGGACTTTTCACGCTCACAAAATATGAATTTAATAGATTTTGAGTAATGCAGCTGGCACTTCTTACAATAAAACTGCACTTTATTAATCAGTATATCAAATAAGTCTAGAATGTGACCTCTAATTCATAAAACCATGTAATTAAAATGAGATTTTTCTCTTATAAAGTCTGATTTATGTAGTGATTCATTGCTGCCTGGAATAAGCAGGAACAGAGTCCTCCATCAGACTGAAAACTCATTTCTTTCTGACGTTACGTACTCCCCTCTGAACAATCGCCCCTCTGTAGTCACTATTTGCTCCCTTTAAATAATAACTATCGCTCCATTTGCTCTTAATCTATTCCTCTTCTTTGCACTTCACTCCCTACACGCACCATATTAGCTTATAAAGGACACCAAGATCCTGAACTCTACTGTGGCTGATGATCTAAGGCAGCCTGAGAGGACTCTAAGGGGTAGTAAGATCATTTCCACAAAATTAGATAAGTAAAAACTAAATTTGGGGACAGAACTTTTTTTAATCTTTAATCTTTTCTTTTTTATATTTACTGTGTAGTCTTATTTCTTCAGGGCTTTAAAATTATTCAAACAGTTCAAGCTGGCAAAATCAGCCTTCGCTCGACCTGCGTTTGCCGTCTTAAAACGCAGTAAAGGTTAATATGGTTGTTGTAAGCGGTTAAAAAGAAGCAAATTCTCCCTCTCAAGTTGTTGAATTTAAACTCCACTCAGCAAAACTACAGCCAAAATAAATGCTATCTTGCTCACACTGTGTGGGACAAATACAGATTTTGACCTGAAAGTGAAGGAATCCTGATCTTCCTAAGCTCCGCCCTTTTTGCTCTGTGCTCCAATAACAGTCGAGCGAGCCTCGGCCAGAACTTCGGACAACTTTCTCCTTCCCTGTACTTAGATATGATAACTAACATTAGCTGACTTAAGTCACTTTTATCTTTTAACAATGTTCAAAATGTGGTTGTCTTCCAAACATAGAGTATTTTAGCACAAAGCACATATAAGCACAGGAAAGGAGAGAGTTGACTGAGGTTTATTGATTAATTCATCTTCTGGGAACCATGAATGATGTCAAACCGTCCAAAAGTTGATGAGATATTTTAGTAAAAAAAAGTGTTGCCCTGTCGATGCCACTATAGGAAAAGTCAGGTGATCACAAAGGTCTTTAAGTTTCATCCTGTGGGAATGTAAATGTCTATAATCCCTATAAATGTACATGTTTCATAGAAATCCCTCCAATAGTTGCTCAGATATTTCAGACCAAATTACCAGAAAAAGAGAAAAGTACTCTCCCATTCTGTCTTTCACCCCTCAGATGAGTTTGTTTCTGAACCCTTTGGTTGGTTGGGTGTGAGCTTAATGCAAGACAGGTAATGTTTACCTTCATGTGTGTGAAAATCTTCCGTCTTATTAGAAGGAGAAATAAGTCATCAGGATGAGTCTCCAACCTCAAATTGTTCTCACAGTATTGACTGTGTTCTCGCTGCCTCGTGTCCTTGTCGGTGTTATTTACCTGCAAATATAAAACTGTAATTAGATTCTCCAGAAACACGTTCTGCAGCGTGATGAAAGAAAATGAGGAGAGTGCTGACAAGTTGCAGAAGTCATTAAACTTGGTGTTTTTTTTAAAGGGCCTTGGTCCTTGATAATGACGGAAGGTGAAATCGTGGTGTTTGCCGTGCTGTTGATATTCAGAATGAGAGTGCAGTTTTTCTCCCGGCTGCTAATTGTTGATGCCGCTCGCAACATAATGCACACCAGTCCCCAGTTATGAGCTCTGCTGCGGTGTTTGCGTTGCCCGTGAGGTTGGGCGTCGTCATGGCAGATGTGTGCCGAAAGCTCAGGCAGCAATTATGGCAAAATTAAAACCCTGACTGAACAAATGAGCCAAATGAAATGCTCTTTTGTCTGGTCTGATGCTTGTCTCTCAGACGGTGCACATTAAGACGTGTCTTGTTATGTGTGTATCTGCACGGTGGAGACGCAAGTACTTATTAAGATATTGTTTTGCTTTTTCCGACACGTAAAACCTCATTACCCGAACGCTAAGCAAGGATGTTGTTCCCTGGCACGGAGCGGCAGTCGATTCCCGGAGATTGAATTTGAATACCTGTGACTTTGAAATAGATTGAATGTAAAGTGTTTTAATGAAAAGGTTATATCAAATTACTCACACTTCACCTCCTAACAAAGTGAATGATAATAAAGTAAGCTGCCTTCTGCCTCGATACCAACCCATTATCTGTCTGCGAACCTCTACCTTCAATCTCGGAGGAAGTAAGAGAGAACTGAAGGGTCACAGAATAATTAAAGTGAAAGAAAACTGCTGCTGTTACACAAAACTGAACTTTTGTCTTTTGAGACACTGAAAGTTTTACCTCATTATTAAGTAAAAACGTTGAGTCCATACGAAGGCCACCACAGGTAAAAGCCAGAAGTCCCTGCTTCATTTAAAGGACTCAAGCAATTAACAGACTAATTAAAACATAATAAAAACATAAAAGCAGCAGAGGCCGAAATATCTTACTTTTAAAACCAAGCTCCAAAATAAAAATGCTGGATCCTACATTTCCCATAATGCAAATCAAGCTCAAGTCGAGATAACACCGATGACGTCACTATGACGTCACTATGACACAATGAGGGTAATTTTAACTCCTCCAGAGCCACGGACGAAGTCATACAACTGTTTTCAGGGGCTCAGCTGTAATTCTACGGTGGCTCAGAGGTGTCGAATGATCTGCCAAAGCCACATTTTGCATTCATGTTGTGGCTTTTACAGTTCGATTGACACCTCTGGGCCACCGTATGTTCCTCATGACGGGTAAATTAACCTTTTTTGTGTGAAAAATAATTAAATAAACGGTAGAATGTCCATTTAATGTTGGTACACTGTTGAAAACACCAACAATTCTTTGTTTTTACCTGCAGGAGGAGCCGATCCAGGGCTTCAAGGTCAGCAACTACCTGGAGTTCATGGAGGAACTGGAGCGCAGCTACAGAGACGTCGTTCTCGCCGACATGAAAACCGTCCGCAACCCCGTCGAATGAGAACGCGTCGGTGTTACAAAGGAACCTTTTTAAAGTAACTGTTAGACATAGGAGCATTTCTCCCAGCAGCCCCCACTGTGGGCTGTGACTCACTGAACATGTGTGCGGTTTATTGTGTTGTCATGACGATCAAAGCGTTCACTGAGCTCATACCCGGCGAAGGGGGGCGCGTCGCGGACGAGAGCCTCGCCATCAGAATGAAGATGCTTCAATTTGTGATGACGCTGGTGGAAAACAGCAACAAGCCTTCGTCTTCAAAGGGTCACACATTAAATTATCTTCAAAAAGAGTCCAACATGTCTAAAAAGTGTCTTATTGTCACCAGATTACAGAACTATTACCAACAATAATACAAAAATCTGGAGATAAATCCAGAACACACTTTTGTTTCATGAAATTAAAGGATGAATATATTCTTTATTTTTCTTATCGGCCCAAACAAATCCCCAACGAAAAAGACCAAAAAAAGAACCCATCCAACATCTGTATCCCACTAAAAGTATTTCCTCTTTCTTCCTCTGTTATTGTCCAAAAACTAATAAACACACATCAGTGAGACACACTGTTGCACATTTATAACCATCAACTAACAGACTGCAGGTTATATCAGGTCAACATACACAGCCTGTAAATACCGAATCTGTATTAATCCGCAGCTGAAAATAGTCCCCAACGAATGCAACAGTTACTCCTGTTGAAGTAACCTTCTCTTAAAACACTTTTGGGTAAAAAAATAAACCCTTTTTCTTAAAATGAAACCTGACCCGTTGATTTTAAAGATTTATATTCCTGTTAGAAACAGATGGGTTTGATGCTGAGAGCTTTGGAAGTTGAAACGTATTTTAAGACAGACGTTTACAATAAGTAAATGAAAATAAATGATATGTTTCAGGTTGAAGGTTACATCATTTCTTGCAACAACAAATGATAATTGTCCCTGTATGTGTAGCTATAAGCAGCTGTACACAATGTAAATACTGTATGTGACAATCATAAACAGCTGTTGTTAAAGAAGATCGAATTATCAAAATGTATAAAATGTTTCAATTCTGTATTTATTGTTTTTCCTACAATGTAAATACCTATAAACACTTTTGTATGTGTTTAAGAAGACGTTGTTGTTCTATGTATTAAAATAAGTGCTCACTTCCAGCTGTGGATGGATGTTTATTCAGCAGGAAACATAAAGCGTCTGTCCAGATAGATTAACAACCTTTTGAGTTATATGTTGCCACGGTTTCCTAAAGTATCCGGTCTGCCCGTGTCATGGCGATGACACACATCATTAATGCAGAGACACGCAGCGATGCATCACACAGCCTCTCGTCTGTGTGTGTGTGTGTGTGTGTGTACGTATGCAGGTCCTTGTATGAAAGATGCATGAGGAAGGTTGTATCATTGTGATAAGCCCTCATTAGTAACCACAGGCTTTTCTCTCTCGCCCCGCTCTCTCCCTGCGCTGCTGTCCTGTCGTCCCTCTTCAGACACACTGACGCCTGAATAATAAATACGCTCACCACCTCCATCCGTCTCCCTCCCACCACAGCGGTGTTTACCAGGGGGAATGTGCAGGGTACAACGGAGGGTGGCGGCTTACAGTGAGAGGAACTGATCAGAAGATGCCACTTCACACAGAGCGTTTCACCACCGAGGGTGTTTAACATTTAGGTCGCAGTGTGTTGAACCTGGAATTGAACTTTAAAAGCTGCATTAATCAATTCTCTTTTTGGCCACTTGGGGGGCAAAACTCCGCAACAAGCAGGACATCACAAACACAGCTGACATATTAGAGCCTCATGAGGCTTTTAGGGTGAACTATTTGCCTATTTAAACATGCAACAGAGCACATCAGTGTGAAATTGGAGACGTGTTCCTGGTGATCTGGTGAATGTCCGGTCCAATATTCGCCCTCCTTTAAACTCCTGAGGGAAATATCTGGCTGTTCACCTTCTACTTTCAATCTTCACTTTGGTGCTCGGCAGGTAATGATCACCGGGTTTGTCTGCTAGAAACGAGGCTGAGGTCGGTGAGACTGACACAGATAATGATTCTCTGTTCTAACAAAAAGGGTGAAGACCAGAAGTGAAACAAAGAATAGGGATAGGCCCTATTCTTTGTTTCACTTCTGGTTCAGAGTTCATTGGAACATGATTTTTTGGTATCTTGGGATCTTGTCCATTGCAGTCCAATAGCTTGAATGCACTGAGCTCACTTCCATAGTTGCTAAATGGCAAAGAATTCCTTTTACATAAAATGTATCACAAGTAAGTTTTAATGGTAAAAATAAAAGATTAGCTTACCCCAAAGAATGTTTTTTTAAGGAATTTTGCCTAAATATTGAACAATTGGCTAACTTTGGGAGCCCTCAGATCATGAACATTGAAAAAGGAAATGCAAACAGGTCATGTAATGTGATCAATTCATTTTTCACAACTAAATAGTAAAACATGTATTTAATGTTACTGCTTTTGAGTAAAATTAAGATAAAGTAATTGTCACTTGATTAGGGTTAATAAATAATTAATATTCCATTGGAAGAAATATGGACATCTCTACACAAGATGTTACAGGACAATTTAAGCAAGAAATCAATTGGTTTACGTCATTGTGGCCTCACCCTCTTACAAAACATCGCCTGCCGGCAACTTGCACTGCAGCACTAACTCTATAAAGAACAACACTAAAAATTCATACAATAAATACATAAAATAGTCTAATATGGCGCGGAGCTTCTGAGCTGTTTCTGTTTTTGCCGTAAGTAAAATGTCTCATACGGAGCGAGATCAGATAAACATGCAGATGTCAGGCGGCTAACAGATGTGAAAACCAATAAAAAAGACTTTCAAATTTGATTTGTGGGCTGACTGGGAGCCGGTGATAATGATTTTAGTTCACTCAAGCCTTCACTTAGACAGGCGAAGAAACAAAAAAAAAACCCTGAGGCAGAGATTTACAAGTGTGTCCTGTCAATTCAGAGCAAATAAAGTCCATACAGTGTGTGTGTGTTTATGTGTTTTACTATGTTGCAGATGTGATATAAACCCATTACAGCACGGGATGAATGCTCCTCAGCTTTCATGGTAGAAGCTTTTGACGTGGACGATGTTTTCAGGCTAAAGTATGAGTTGCTCACTTGTTTTAGTAATTGGACAGTGAAGGCTGAGGCACTTTATGTCCTTAAGAATCTATCGATCATTATTTGGCTGTGCAGCGCGCCTCGTTCCAGCAGCGCTCTGTCAGTCTGCTTTGTGGAAAATGAACATCAAGCTGTTACCAGATGTCAGCGTTTGCTCTAGTTTCCAGAGTTTGAGTGGAGATAGGAGAAGAGCCTGCGTGTCAGTGGTGGGACTATGATACAGCCCATATTAGACATGTCTGTCAGCGGCGCGCAGTGTTTTCATCAGACGAATCCATGCGGACGCCGCTTCTGTAGAGTGGAGCGCCGTGCCGAGAACGAGAGAGCGGGAGATTGATTTAGTTTGGAGAGACAGTGGTGGGCTGTAATCTGTCAGAGCTGAACAGGATCTAGAAGTTTTTTTTAACTTCAGGACACTGAACTCGACTTTGCTGAGAGAAATGGATGTGCTGCTAGATGGATGGCACTTCTAGCTCGAAACAGCCCGACGCGCTCCGTTCAGGAAACCGTAGAAACTTCTGAGGAGTGAGGGGACGTCTGACCCTCTCTCTGTTGTAACACTCCAACAGCCTGGCAGTGCACCAGCTAACACAAGCTGCTGGGGACAGCTAACCTTTTAAGAACGTAGAGACAGGGAAAGAAGTTTTGTCTCTATGGTAAGACAAAAAAAAAGTTATTTGTAGGCAGGGGCAGTTTATTTTCATCCTGTTTGTCTGTTGTGATTCTGCAATTCAGAGAGAATTTGAGTCGTTACACACAAATACAATGTTGATGAGTTCACACTTAAACTGTAAAAATAAAACCTGGTTCACAGGAAGTGTGTCATTATTGTGGTTCCTTTAAAAAGGTCCAGTGTGTAGGATTTAGTGCCATCTTGCGGCGTGGTTTCATTGCCCAATCTATAACCCGGTTCGTCCGTTGTTGGCTACTGTCGAAACATGGCAGCCGACACGGAAGGACACCTACAGGCATCTGTAGATAAAACTGGCTCATTAACAAAAACACAATTCTTATTTTCAGGTGATTATATAGTGATGAAAACACTATTATATACTGTTATATTCCATTTCTTCACTTTTCAAATAGAGCAGGTCTAGACCGAACTCCTTTTAACATTTACAGAGACCCAACAGTACCACCATGAGCAAGAACTTGGCGACGGGGGCAAGGAAAAACTGCCTTTTAACAGGCAGAAA